AAAGCTGTGGCACTGTGCTGGGAGCTGAAGTGCCAGCACCACGAAACAGAAGTGGAGACAGAAGCTTAAGCCTCCTTAACTGCCTCCTGTTTACCCTGGTTTTGGCCAGTAGCATCTCTCTCTTTGGGCTCCCTAATCATGGATGTTGAGAGCAATCTTGAAGCTTTGTGCGTGTTCTGCAAAATAGTCTGGCAAACAGGCAAAAGAAAATACAGTAAAGTCATTTGTGTGCCATCTCTTAAAAAAAAATAGGCAAGCCTACAATGTGTACATACACAGATTCTAATTTATTATTTCATATTCTTTATTTACAAGAATGTATTAGATTAGAAAATATATACCTGGTATAAATTAATGCAAATTTTTAAACAGTTTAGATGTGACTTTTTCCTCTTGGAATATCCCTTTAGCAAGAAATAAGACTTCTTGAGTTGGGTTTCTTGAGTTCAGCAGAGCATTCTGTGAAGTTGAAAGTACACCACTAAAGCAAGTACATCCTTGTATTCCCAGTTAGGCTACTTGGATATTTAGGAATGAAATTGCTCCAGCTGCAGATGCATTTTTGCTATCTATGCGTGTTAAAAACAAAAGAGGTGTATTTTTTATGCATAGTTGCATGCACATTTTTGAAAATATGGAAACTAGGGGTTCTGTGAAACACTGTGGAAAATTTATATCAAATTCCAAAAACCCAAATATTTTTGTTAAATATCTCTAACTTCCATAAATTTTTCTCTCTTTATTTTTTTATTTGATAATCATTAGTAAGATTGATGGCTGAGTGTGAACAGATACGCTTCCAAATGTAGGGAAAAAAAAATTCCAACTGTGACAAAACCAGTTCAGTTCAAGTTTATTCTTAGATGCTTAAGTTAACACATTAATTCAACCTCAGTACATTAATTTGCTATACTTAAAAATAGTTAATGTGTTTTGTTTTATTTGCTATTTGGCTGAGCAGATGGTAATGGTTTTGACACAATTCAGTTTTTTATTTTTCTTCTTTTCTTTTCTTGAAAAAGACAAGGCTCTTTTTCCCACTTTGTCACAGCTGGTTACCAATCAATCTCAATTCACAGTACAGTGATGATAGCACATGTTGTTCAGGGGCCAAATCTGATTGGGTTGCATTTTCAGCAGTGTTTCATATCAAAAAAAAATTGTGTCTGTATGGCAGTGACTGTCAGCACACTATTGTACAACTGTCATTAATCAGAACTAGCAACAATGAATGCATTCATATGTGCCAGGACTGCCAGATTTCACTCAAAATCACCCAATTTCTATTAGAATTTCCTCACCAGCAGTGTTTTCTCATGTGCCTCTTGTTTCTCTCTTTCTTTTTTCCTTGCCAGTCCCCTGCCAGCCGCTTCCTTTTCGCTTAATTAAAGGCAGACCTGCTCTATTACTTGCAGAACAGAAATTATGTAAGGTGGTGCCCAAAAGTGGCTGCTTTGTATCTGGCACAGACTGACTGGCTGTTTAAAAGACCTCTCCCAGTTCAGTCTGATGGCTGAAGTCTAAGCTGAACCGAAAGGTTAAGCACCTCTGAATGTTTAACAAAGAGAAGTACTTAAAATCAATTAGATGTCCATAAACACGTGAAACTGATGTCTGACACCCTCTGGTTTTAGCTCAATGCTGCATTAATTGGCTAGGAGTCAGCAATATTTGGGCAATGTGTCACAAGTTGTTTCTTGACACTGCTCATATTTTGAAGACATGGCCTTCTTCATGTACTGGCAACGTTAAGGAGCAATTTAACCACTGCACCCTGGTTTTCTGCCATTCCATTGTCAGTCCAGGAGCCTGGTTAACACTCTCTGTGACTGGTATTAGCAGAGAGGTCCCTGATCCTAATTCCAAGTGTTCAGAAGCACTAATCCAGGTGAGAGTGGACTTCCACAGAAAATGAGGTGAAAATGTCTTGCTATGGGGATTTGGGGCTCCAGAACAGAGAGGAGACAAGACACTGTTCAAGGCTGAGTAGGCGGATGCTTGAGAAATTCAAAAGACCTTCAGTCTCCATACCTTGTTGTTTTGTTTATGCTGCTGTGGGTCAGGCTAAAAGCCAGTTTTCCTCCTTTCTCCTTCCTGTCTGCTTCATCTGCCAAAGCTCCTCCCTGAGCTGTGGTGACTTCTGGGGACAGTGCTGGTGGAACAGATGACTGACGGGCAGCATATCAGTACTGCAGGACAGCAGATGGTTCTAACACCCCACGGGTCCATCCACACATGGATCTCATTGCTAGCTGGCACGTTCTGTCAGGGTGGTCCAAAAGTATGGGAGAGGTGAACCTGTCCTTGAAGCAATTGTGAACTGGACCATGACAGTGACATGTTTACGCCACCCTCCGTTTGGTGACCCAAGTGGGAGCTGGTGGCTGTTCCCACCACCCAGCATCCTGGCATGCCATGCAGCTGGCTCCTCCACCCAGCAGCCTTGGCACAGTGTGCAGGATTGGCAGGTGCAGGGATAAAGGCTGCCGGAGCCTCGGAGGCAGCTGGCTGGCATGCCGGCACCAGCACATCCCTGACAGGAAGCAGAGTGAGTCAGCTGCAGCTCCCTGTCCCAGCCTGCCTGCATCCCAGCTCAGGCAGCCCCTGTCTCAGATACAGCCCTGCTGCCTGCCTGTTTTCCTCTCAGCAGCATTAAGTGAAACACAGGGATGTTATCTGTCCTTTGAAAAGAAAACCCCATCAATTTCATAGATGACTAATTGTTGCCCAGCTTTATAGCCCTGATTCTGATATCCAATTCATATTTATATTACCACTGATCTTAGTTTCCTCATCATACAGGAGCTGAATACAAATTTATATTTTCAGCCTCCTAGAGCTGGCCCCATGTCAAGAAAATAAGCATTCGCTCTTGTCTGCAACTCTGCAATCACACAAGACAAATAACTGCTCCATCGTTGTAGGATAATGTTGTCATATTCTTGAGATTTTTAAGGGGGACAATTTGCCCTTTCTGTCTTATGAAAACAGTGATTTTTATTTGCCACTGACTAATGCAGCACAGCATGCAAAATGACATAATTTGTGAGCAGTCTAGAGGAAATGTTCTTTAGCTGCATGTGGCTGTTGAATGTAGTTGTAATAGATGTGTAGCTCTCCAGAAGGTGCATATTGAGTTCTCTAACATCATAACTACCTGCCCTCTCACCACTACCAATGGCACTATGCTGGCAAAAAAAATTATCCCTACAAGTTTCTAAAGTTTGCCATGACATCTATTTACTTATTTTTCCCTTTGGCGTATCTATTATTAATCAGTTAAATCTGAGGTACTACATATACATGAAATTAAATGTAACTCCCAAGGAAATTGGTATTATATGTGTTTATGTTAACCTCAACAGAATGGTTAGCCTCAAATTCATCTTTATTAAATTATTTCTTGCTAACTGATAGAATAGACCTACTGAATATAGAAAGAAGTTTTATTGTGGTGACTGTGAAAAGATTTCTTGACTGCTCTTTGTTCTTGGAATTGCTAGGAATGCTCTAATTGGTGTTGTGAGCTTTAGTTAGACCTAATAGAAATTTACATGTTTCACCACATGGGATCTTTGAGTTAAGATGCTTTGAAGTCTGTTAGCACATGGTGCTCTCTCTGCAAACCTATACTAAAGGAACCAATAGCAATATATGTTATGTACACAAAAAAGTTATGTTTCACATTCCCAAAGGATCTAAAAATGCTCATAGGGCCTGACAGCATTTCTCTGACTTGTTGCATTGTGTCCTTATTTATCCTAACATTTAAGGGTGCTCTTCCATGTGATTTCAGTGTGTTTCCTGTACAAGTATATAAGGCCTTTCTTGCATAACAAAAAGAAAGTAAATGAGCTCTTCTAAAATTATGCCATGAGTGTGTATATAGTGAGAAATAATATTGACACCTCCTGAAGTCTAGGTCTGTTTTTAGTTTCATGTTCCTATTTCACTCATACATGTGAATCTGAAGCCAAGTCTAGATTCAAGGTGACTTGATGTATCATAGCAAGAAGAGATGTTGTTGAAAATAATTTAACAAAATAATATCTAAAGAGTAAAGTATCTATGCTGATAACCAGGGTTTTCCTAATTTGGCAACCAAAGATATTTTATACAACATGAAGTCTCCTGCTGACTTTAATGAGCTTTGGATCATAGCCTAAAAAAGTTTGTTAAGCATGAATTCTGCAGATAATAACAATTTAGCTGAAAATATTTTTTTCTGGGTATAATCAGTCTAAGTGCCTTGAGAATACATGTTCACTACATACTGGAGTATGTTGCATTAAGTAAGTTTTATATATCCTCAGGTATAAAACTTAAAGTTTTAGAATTTTTTCAACAGTAGAAACAAAGGAATGGACAAAGCACAATTGAATTGTTTCTAATTTCTTTTAAGAAAGAGAAAATGTCATTGTCCACCTTTATTGAATTGTTTTGTTGTATTTCTGTGAAATTGATATATCTGCCTTAATGTGCCTCTTCAATAAATGTCACCTTCCAGAGCTTGAATATATTTTTTATTGTTTGCAATTGGGTAGTGTGAGATCCTACCAACATGCTCACTGTTCCCTAGGGGATTGCTGCTGTAGGGGAAAACTGTATATAAAAGGAAATTTCCAAATCAGCAAAAGGTAAAACGTGTAGCTCACACCGTTAAAGGCATGATAAACCTGAGCTGTCATGTATTGATAACTGATGCCTGATACCTTAATTTTATCTTATTGCTGTAGATTAAGGACAAAGTGAATGCTATTATTAATAAAGCCCCAATACTGAACATAGCAATACTAATTTTATGTAAAGTTTCTAACTAATGCAGAGCGCAATAAAAATGTCACGGAGATTAATGCTTCGTGGAATTATCTCATGCTGGATAATGATTTATCTTCCCAAGTTGGCTCCAAGATAGATTCAGGCTGGCATTTTCCAGGTGACAGCTTTTGTCCATGTCTGCTGCCCACAAAAAGAGTTTTCCCTCTCTTGCTGTGACACAGGTACGACATCAAGGACGACTACACCCTGCGCATCAAGAAAGCCGTGAGCAGCGACGAAGGAACCTACACCTGCATTGCCGAGAACCGCGTGGGCAAGGTGGAAGCCTCTGCTACGCTCACCGTGCGAGGTGAGTGCTCCCTCAGGGGCAGCCTCTGTGTCCTGCAGGGATAATTGCTTTCTGATGAGATGGGCCACATCCTTCCCTGCCCTTGTTGGGGCTCCACACACCCTTTGCTGCTGCACTGATTTACAGCACAGGTGAATTCCTGGTCCTGCTGATAGCTCGTGCGGAATTTTAATTGATTTCAGCGGGATAGGATCCCCCTGCAGTTAAAGTCCTGTCCCAAGGTGTTTTTATTGAAAAGCAGATGCATATATGCATAAGCAAGCACTACATAACTGTGGGCATAGACATGAATATGTGAGCCATCAGCTCAGGCTGTTAGTCACGTTTCTTTCTCTAAGTACAACGAGTAGCATAACTGTATTTATTAATGACAAACATAATACAGATAACATTATTATGGGATTAGCTCTGCCATAATTGAGCTCTCTATCACTACCCTTGATCCAAAAAATAAACCATAGCCAAAGGAAAGAGACAATCCTAATTAAATTGTGTAAGTATTACAAGGTAAAGACTAATTATTCTCTCCTAAAATATTTGTGGTCTCTAGTATCCACTCACTGTTTATGTGATGCTCTTTGATTTGGTAAGGAGGTTTTAAGGCTGGTGGAATAATGAATGCCCAAAATATCTTTCGTGACAGTACATATAGACATGCTAAAGATTATAGGGAGAGAAAAAGTTTGTAAGCTAATATTTCTATTTGAGTAAATAGAATATAATAGTTATTACTTCATTCCAAAAGATAAGCAGCAATTTGGCACAATAGATATCAGGCAGACACTATTTCACAGTTTAGTGGTGCATGCTGACGGTTTTCAGTAGAGCTGTGAAAGGTTAATAAAAACATTTTTAGCTTTATCTGTCCTCCTCTTTTCATACACATTAAATCAAATGTTCAAAGTCTCAATGGATTGCTTTATTAGAACTGGGGTCAACTGACCCAAGAGGCCAGCTTCCATTTCCATCCATTTAATGCATGGACACAGTTCAGTTTAATTTGCTGAATTCAAAGGAAAAAAAAAAAGCCGCTGAGTGGCTTTGTAGGGTAGTATGTAACAAAGAAAAGAGAGCATTGTGATAATCTGTTGAAATATTACCTCAGTGTTCACTTTAGACTGTAAGTGACAATATGGCTCTTCCCATTTTGAGTTAAAGAAATAGGTGTGTGAGAGATTGCTCTTCCCTTTTGTAATATGGGAAAATTAGTCACCACAGCCAACTCCCAGAAACAGTCTCACTCTGTTCCTTTGTCACAGGCAGTATTGCAGTGTCCAGTAATTCTGGTAACCAATTCCCTGGCTTTTAAACACTCCTAGAACTGTGTCCACTCTGCACATTACTGGAGCAAGCCTTTTGGATTTGCTACCCTGACTTTTAATGTAAACAATACCAAGAACCCAGCAAAAGAATCCTTTGAAATCACTGAAGCTTGAACCCAATGAAATTAAAGGGAAAAAAACCTCAAGGAAATGTGTAATTTAATCGATTTTCCCCCAGTAAAAGCATATTTTCATTATCTTGTGTATTTTTCCCTCTGGGTTTGTCATTTACAGTACAATACATAATGTTTATTCAATACAAAGAAGGCCATGATATAAGAAACATTCTATATGTTCATGGTATGACAGAAAATGAGAAAAAACAAGAAATTCATTGGAGAAAGCTGTTACTCTGAATTTAGTGAAAACAAAGGAGTGGGAAATCTCCCATTGACTTTAAAAGGGTGATGAACAATGGGCTTCTTAATTAAGGAAAGCCTTAATTCTGAATTCTTAATTAACAGTGTTGTCTGACACTGGTTTTACCATGTCGTGTAAAAACCACTTAGTGTTTCAAAATTTACCCTGAGCTTGTCTTGGACCTTGCAGGTGTCATGTAGTTCCACCTGCACACCTGACAACAGCCCTGTAATCCTTAGCCCCCTCATTCATAGCTCCATCTTCTTAAAACAGAGGATGGGGATGCAGTCAGGAAAGTTGCATTACACTGTCACAAACAACAGCAGAATCCAAGTTCTGTGGCCCAGACTCCACGTTCTGTCTTGGAAAGATGTTAATTTTATACCTCATCTTTCTGCAGAAGAAGGAAAACATCCATAACACTGGAAGCCAAAAAGTGTTCTTTATATGATGGGTGAGAATGGCAGCAGACTTGGCATAGTTAAATGAAATGGGTACAGAGCCATGGAAAGCTTGAGAAATAAGAAGGCCTTCACAAGCTCTGTTACCTCTAAATTTGCATGTCTTACATTTGGCCCTAGCCTGCCCACAGGGGCTGGTAATCTTCTTAAAAATAAATTTAAAACAAAATTGTGTCGTTGCTCAGAAATATGTAATTATTGCTGCTGATAAAAAAAGGGAAGCTTTGCCTACACAGATGCAACCTGGAGTCAATTTTATGTCCAAATTTTCAGCTCTTCTGAAAGAGATGTCTGTATTTTATTAGCAGAGGGACTGACAGCTCTCTTCCCCAGCACAAGTATAATGAAGGGCTGTTCTATAACCAAGAAATCACTTGTTGCAGCAGCAACTTTCAATCTCTGTATCAGCCTGAAACAGTATTAACCTGTCAATCATTTAACAGCAATTTTTTAGGAAGTAGAAGTTACCTAAGCAGTGATTTGGGAGGTTCTGGGTTGAAGTCCCTGTGGCCATTTCAGCCCATTTGTTATATTTTCATCAGCACTGTCAGTGATGAAAAAGCACTGTGCTGTAAGCTTTCATGCCCATTATTGAATAAGAAATACTGTCCTGGGCTTTCTGTAGCCCTTACTGCTGTACTGACTGGTCATGCTTAAAATTCATTTGGTATTTGACTCAGATAGCAAATGCCTTGCATGACATTAGGCAGCGTGAGACTTAAATTGATGTGTTCATTGGGATCTAAAAGTTTGTGCTAATGCAATGCAATTTTTCTTTTATCAGGCATTAACAATGATACTTGATGATGGCATGCGAAGATAATAAAAATGTTTCTCAGAGAATGGTTCCAGTCAGCTTGTTCAGATGCTGTGCTCAAGTAAATGGGATGATAGTGGCACGTGACTAAACAATAACAGCAGCCAACATTTGACTTAGGCTGCCATTTGAGGGGTTAGCAATCATGGTAGTATCCATAGTGGAAAGTAACATTACACGTCATGCATTCTGACAGATATTCTTTTCTTTTTTTAATTTCCTTTTTATGTTCTCACTACACCATTGTAATGTCAACAGCTCGCCCCGTTGGTAAGTAACCATCCTTCTATCCATTTTGGCATGGCTTCATGCAATGCTTCATCTTTCATTTGCAACAGCATTTCACTGGCTGGAATAAGCAGCCAGCGCTTAACAGCTGTACCTGTCTAACACCAGGCAAGCGGTTTTGTCTGCCAAAGTGCTTTTCCCAAACGTTGTATTTCCTGCTGTGTCGTGTACAAGCACGTTTGCCAAATCACCAGCGAGTCCCAGTCGGTGAAACGGGGTGGGAGTGCCGATACCAAGCCTCAATCACCCATTTAGATGTTTTTTTTGGTCTGGTTTTGGGCCTGGTGTAAAAGCCACTGAAATCAACAGAAAGGGTTGTGTTGACTTTGGTGAGCTTCTCCCAGGCCCTAAACAATCAGCTCATCCTGCTTTTCCTGCACAGCAGAAAAAGCACAGGCTTTGCATGTCCCGTCTTTCTTGTATCGTATCGTTCCAAGAGCTCTGAAATGAAGAAGTCCTGAAATTGAGGAGGGGATGGAGTAGATTTCTGTGCTTGCTGAGGGAGTTCATCACGGATTTCTGCTCTTTGGTGCAGTTTGGAGTGCACTGTATAGGATGCAGGCTGTTTTGAATAACAAGTCCTGAGGAAGACAACCTCTAGGTTTTAAATCCCCACACCGAAAATTTTATTATTTCCTGTGCCTTTGAAATTGTGTAAATGCATAAAAATCTTACTAAGGATAATGGAAAACTTGCAACTGTCAGTAGCTGAAATTCACTTCTGGTGTTCAGAAATATCCCAAATGTACGATTCAATTTTCTTTCATGAATATTTACTCTGTGCCTACAAGGATTTAGTTTAGTGAGCTGCATTGCTCCTCTGATATTTGTAGTTTGTATTTTAATGTATCTTTTAGAATAATAATATGGTAACTCTGATTTTTTTGGCTTAGTGTAAAAAGTCAGTACTGGTGTTTATGGAGACTGATGAGGGGTTCAGTCTTTATTTACTTAGTCAAAACTTTTGTTGGATATGTGTTTGACTAAAGTTTATGAGTTTGAATTCATCTCAGCTCTTCACTGTTCTAAGTTTGGAGGAAGAACGATTGGAGTAATTTAAAGATAAAATCCAGGTTAGGCCTCTGCTTCCAGAACTTGGGTGATCCCATCTTATTGACTTGCTTGAACTGACATCCATGGAACCAAGCCAAATACCTCCACAGTCACAGCATGGCTTATCCACACCTGGAGAATTCCCTGTGCAGAATAGAAATTTGCTCTTCTCCATTTGGGATTTTGATAGCAAGCTTTAAATCCAATCTCTGCTGTATTGTTTTGGCATTAGGCTCGTTCTCAAGGAATTCATTCCCAGGAGCTGCAGAAGTGTAAAACTGCAGTAAACTCAGGAGAAAATTCACCTGTGCTTAGAAAATGTGGTGTGAATATTTAGTGTGCTTCTTCATGTACTAAGAAATGCCACTAGATTACAAGTTGCTTGTAGATACTGTTTTTTACTTTGCTGACTCTTAAAAGACAGGCAAGGAAAAAAAATCATAAAGTGGAAACTGTTTCAAGCTCTGTGAAAACTACATAAAATAAATGACTGGAGATTCACAAGAAAATGATAGGTTTCAGCAGTGCTGCTAGTGTCTCATTTCAGAGCACTGATTCTTTTTTAAATTTTTTCAGGCCATTGAGTCATCCCTGATTCCATCTCCAAAGCTTATAAAGCAGATCTTGGTCTCAAGTTACTTTATGTCCAAATATATGATTGTGTGGTCATGCAGTGGTCAATTCCACATATTCCCTGCCTAGGCTATTTTATTTTGTTGAAAGAGAACAACAGAAAGACAAGAAATTTATCCTTCTGCAGAATTTATTTAGGAAACTGAAATTAGAATGGTTGATCTTGAAGTAATTACTATATGGGCATATGGTCCTTATCAAATTATTTAATTTAGTGATTATCTTTGTGACTTGTGAAAGGACTGTTGAGTAAATAAGTCTAATTCTGAAGATGTTTCACACAGAATTCCCAACAAGTGTATGTGGGGATTGCTGTGTATAAGCAGATCAGTCAGTCACTTTTATCTGATCCTGTACCTGTAGAAAGACAGTGATAGTGTCTACCTGTATAGGGTTTTTTGCTTAAGTACCTGAGATAAAACTAATTTCTGCAGTTCGCAGCTCTATTTCACTCACGACTAGGCACATAAGGTGGCTACCCATCCTGGTTTTTTTAAATTTGAAGTCTGGTAAGACAAACAAAAGTAACTTCCCTCTCCACCAAGAATCCCAAGCAGTCATCTGTTAAAATTGTCATTTAACAAGCACAGGGAGTCAAATCCTGTGGCATCTTTTTGTTCAGGAATTTAACTGGAATACAGAGCAAAAATACCTCTCCTTACCTAAAGGAAGCTAAAGAAAACACTGCTTCATGTGATTAGCTCACAACTTTCTTGGAGGATGACATTTTAACAGAAGTATATTTGTATATTTATGTATATGTTAGCAGGGGAGCACTTAAAATTGTAAAATTTTTTTCATGACTCCAGAGAGTTATCTAGGTACTTCTGTCTTCCATCACGGTCTGCAATTCAATATTTTGTCTTTATTAGGTTTTAAATAAGACCAAACTTTTTCTTTTTTCCAATGAAGAGTAGAGAACTACATTTTAAATTATTTAGATTTGTATTTATTGTTGCAGACAGAATAATCTTCATTTTCTAGTCAGTTTTTGCCTGTTTCAAATATTTGTACTCTGTTAGGTGTGATATTTTTATTCTAATTTCAGCTTGAGTGGAAAATTCAGGAGTTACCAATGACCATCTTGGGTTCAAGCACTTATTAACAAATGGTTCATACAGATAAAATGAGGTATGGTGCTGCCTGAGGTGGGTGGCAGCTGGTGAATTTAGAAGCTCTGTGCCAGATTACTCATCATGTTTGAATTTGCTGCTAGGAATAAATGTGTTGCCTGTTTCTAAAATAGATTATTTATAACCTTCTGAAAAGATTTCTGACAGGATTTACAACAGATGGGTTTAGGAAACAAGATATTTATCCCTATTTAGACCATTTCTATAGTTATTTCACTCATTAGGTAGATTTTCCATATGAGCAAGTTAGAATTTTTCCCATTTTTGCATTCTGCTATATTTTTTCTGGCAGTTGGGCAGGAGTATGGCTGCTGAAAGAAGCACAATAGTTGGGAAGAGCCCAAAAGTTTCAGTAACAGTGACCTTCTTTTCAAATGCAGTTGCTGTACTGCTTTGAGAGGGAGGACCTTGAAATGGAATATCTATGAAGATCTGTCTGATATCCCAGTTACTTTTTTATTAATAATGCAAAAAGTCAGTCAGGTGACAGAGTACCACTCAGTTTGCAAAATAATTCCAACTAAGTCCAAGTGAAAATACAGCTCTTTGTATGTCAGTTGCTTTGCAGCAAGTCAAGTTTACTTAGTCTTTTGTTCATGTGCTGTGGCTCATAATTTCAAAAAGAAGAGACTTGCAGGAAACACCTGGATATTTTTGCCACCAGGATAGAAGTGAAGTACTTGAACTTAGCTAAGGGACTAAAGGGAGACTAAGTGCAAAAACTAAACTCTGTCATGATGGTGAAGAGACAGCTGAGACACCTGCCCTGAATTTTCCAAATTTTCTATTAGTTAAATGCAGTCTGTTGGCATTTAAGTGCAAAATGACTGTATGATGCATTTCAATCTGCACTGGGAAGTTTTCATTACATAAATCAGTGTGGCATGACTGAATGGTCTGTTAAGAGTGATGCAGCATGAAAAACAATAGAAAGGGCTGTATTTTAGAGAAGGTTGTATTAGGTTTTGTGACATTGCTCAGATGGTTCAGATTGGCAAGTGAGAAATAATTCTCTTTATTCTTCTTCAATCTGACTCTTGCAGGGAAAGTCTATATACAGTGAATGCTTTTATTTTTATTACATTCATGAAGATATCACCTTCACTTGAGACACCAAGGATTTATAAAATATCAGTAATGTGGATTGGTGTGTGACAGGAGAGATGACATCATGCTTGGTGCTACAATGCCATCTTTCAGTGGCAGAAATCTCAAATTTATATCAAAATGTGCTATCTTGCCTGTCTGGTACCTCTTACAGAAATTTTTGGGAGAGGGTAAGGACAACAGTGGACACTGGGCTTTTTGGACTTGTTAAATAAAAGAGTAAGACATCATTATTTTTTAAAAAGTCAGAAATTCTTCAGATTTAAAAGGTTGCTGTAGAATGAAATTCAGATTGCTTCTTATACCAGTAAGAGATTAAAATATGGAGCTGACTTGTTACAATTTTTTGTAGCCTATAAATGCCACTCTAAAAATCTTGAAGTCCTTAGCATATCTACTTTGCCTTAAGTTCAATCACTGAAGGGATCAAGAGTCCCATTATTTTAATTTTTTTTTTAATTGCTGACCTCTAGCTTGGGGAAGTTTTAGGAAGTTTAGTGCATAACTTTTATTTTTCAACTTTCAAAGTTTCTGAAAACATGCTCAAATCAGTGGGAATTGTTTTCCTATTTCTTTGGCTTCTGAGTTCTGAGTATATCCATAAGTCTTTGAAGATTAGTGTATAATAAAGGTCTGTTGATGTGTTGCTCTCCCCAAGCTTTTCCCTTCCTTTCAGTATAAGGAGAAATTGGTTACCTTTCCTTCAAGAGGAATGTGGAAATCAATACAATAATCTATTCACTTCTCCCTTTACTTTCTTTGCTCTATTGCTGCCATCCAATTTACAGCTTGGATGTGATCTCAGTGTTACTCAACAGTAAAACTACTGTGTGCCCTATTCCTTCAGTGTTAACATTGTCAGTCAGAATAAATAGTCATTTTTCTTCCTCTCTCCTTTTTCTCTTTTCGTTTAACTGTGTCCCAAATTGAGTAGAGTATCTCCTCTCAGCCCTCTTTATTCTCAAGGGTGAACAAACCAGGAATTTGTCACCTTCCTCACTACAGATATAGCCTGTGAGCCTCTCTGGGCTCTTTACCCTTCTCATCAATTCCTTA